AAGGTTGTTAACCTGGATTATTGCACACAGATAGAACATCATATGTGAACCACTCACAGCTCCCTAGTATTTAACATCCATTTTCCTTTTGCTTCCAGCAGGTTCATGAATCATGAGCTGGGCCTGTAAGCACACAGTGGTGAATACAATTCAGCTCACGGTGAGTTGCATGCATTTCTGAAATGTGCTGCTCTGATTAAACAAGACTGTCCTGGGGAAATGACTGGCATAGAGCATTCCCAATGGAAATATCACTTGTAAAATATCTCATTTAATTGTATCGCTAAGTTCACCAATTGAACCTGCCAGCTGTTGCCCTTTCGTCCAGTTGATTTTTGGTCTTCTCCTATTTATTACCATAATTACATGATTAATAGAGACAGTGATTTTCATCAGAAACATCAGGCAGTTGCAAAACCAGAAATAGATTGTTAATTTGATCCTCAGAAATAGAGACAGGCTTAAGGAAGAGAAAGGCTGTAGTGGCAACATCCCCAAAGTGGAGAGATTACCTCTTTATAAACCATATCCAGGAGAAAAGTTGTGTGTTAACTTTAATATGTCTGTAGACATTAATTCTCCAAACAGTTAAGTCTAAAATTACCAACTCCACCAACAAGGTTAGGAAACACATGATGTAGAAATGCATTGTGGAGTGGTTTTCAGTTTTTCTTCCACTCAACCAATAATCCTAAACCCACCTCCTTTGTTTTCAAGTATATGTCTGTTCTGTTCTTACAACATTTTGCTTTTGTTCATGCTGTAAATAAGATACTGCTCTCAAATAATCTGGCCTATGGTTTAAGGCAGTCAGCAGATTTCTTCTGACGATTTGAATGATTTCATATCTAAAGTCCTTTACTTCTCCCCAACTATGTTTTGTTTTCAGCATTCTAAATTCAAAAATTACAATACTCTCAGCATTTTCCATAGCTGAAGAGCTGAGGGATAGCGCCCAGGCCCAGAGTTCAGGCCCCACGAACAGGAACCCACTTCCCCCCACCCCCCACCCCCTCCCCCGCCCCCCCAAAAAAGAAATACACATCCTTGGAAAGGGATATATCTCTAGCTTTAACATCCAGTTCCCTTCTCCCACTTTATTTTATTTTGTTCCTGGGGCTTGAACTCAGGGGATGAGTGCTGTCCCTGAGCTTTGTCCTCAAGGCTAGCACTCTACCACTTGAAACACAGCTTTGCGTCTGCCCCCCTTTTAATGGTTAATTGAAGATCAAAATCCTGAAGAATTTCTTGCCTGAGCTGTCTTTGAATTGTGATTTTCAAATCTCAGAATTACAGGCATGAACTACGAGAACCCAGCTCCCTTCTCCCAATTATGACTCAAATCAACCATGCTCTACTGTTTGGGAGTAATTGAGCTATTAATGAGTAAAAGACAATGGAGATAAACACTTCTACCTATTTCCTTTATGGAGAGAGTATCAGAAAATTGGCATAGTCAATCCAAACAAGAAAGAGGAATCAGGAGAAACAATATTACCTGATACTATGGTCTAAATGCTTGTATTTCTCTAAAACTCACACGTTGAACTATACTCACCAAGGTGATAGTATTAGCAAGTTCGGTCTTTGGAAGTTATGAGAATGAAGACCACATTAATGGGATCAGTTCTCTTATGATAGACGCCTCAAACAGTGCCCTCTCCCTTTTGTATCATGTAACAACATAGTGACAAAACATCATCTGCAAATTAGTAAATGGATTCGCAGCAGAAAATGAATCTACTATTGAAAAATCTATTATATTCTATTTTTTTTCTTGTGTGTGGGTCCTGGAGCTTGAACTTGGAGATTAGGCATTATCCCTGAGCTTTTATTCCTAAAGGATAGTACTTTATCAATTGACTTATAGCTCCACTTCTAGTATTTTTTGGTAGTTCATTAGAGGTAAGAGTCTCATGAACTTTCCTGCCCAGGCTGACTTCAAACCACAATCCTCAGATCTCAACCTCCTGAGTAGCCAAAAATACAGGTGTGAGCCACTGGCACACAGATTATAAACTATCCACTTTATGGTATTTTTAATAGCAACCTGATCATATGAAAACACCTCAGTATAGCAAGTAGAGTTTAACAATCTCTGTAGAACATAATGTATTGTTTAAATATTAAATTCCAGAAGCAGTGGCTTGATCCCAACTTATTTGAATATTAATTGGAGTTCAGCATTAATTGGCTTGTGTTGGCAGCCCATAACCACAGATATTTGGAGGATGAGATTGTTAGGATTGTTGCTCAAGATCAACCTGGGCAGAAAAACAATTCTCCTGATGCCTTCAAAATGAACAGCTGGACATGGTGGCATAAAGCTGATGTTCTAGTTACCAGGAAGCCTAACATGATCCTAGGCAAGAAGTGGTTCTCAGGTATATAAAACAAACAAACAAACAAACAAAAAACAGGTAAAAAAAAATCAGGGCTGGAGGGATGGCTCATGGCAAGCTCACTGATAACCAAGCTCAAAGCCCTGAGTTCAAATCATAGAACCACCTAGGAAAAAAATATTCACATGCTAGAATTAAAAAGGTTGTTTAAAAATTGTGTTGGTCCTAGGGCTTGAATTCAGGGTTTGAGAACGTTTCTGAGCTTTTTTCTGAGCTAGTGCTCTCTTGAACCACTTCTTGCCCCTTGGTGGCTAATTGAAGAAAAAGAGTCTCACAGACTTTCCTGCCCAGGCTGACTTTGTATAGATGGGCCAAAAGGATGACTGTGAAATTGAATCTAGTCAAACACCCCTGGTTTACAGATGAGGACATAGTAGTTGCTGACTTGTCCTAAGCCCAGACACCCAACTCTCAATAATGTGGGGAGTCTATCTCCTTTAACCCAGAGTCTCAGACAAGTTCATACATTATTCTATGCTGCTATTCTTTGATTAGCAATAATCTTGGGTAACAACCAAACAATGTGTTTTCTCCAAACAGCTATGGAAAAACTAATATTATATACATACATATATATACACTTTATTCTCCAAGTAGAATAAAATAACAATTTATTTTCTAAAAAGTCAGAGTAGTTTAGTGCAAGGTGTATTCATAGGCATAGCATAATTAATACAAGGTGCATAATTGATTCAGGGTATATATTGTGTGGGGGTAATACTGAATGTTCAACTTATCCCAAGCCAGTTGCTAAATAATTTAGAGGAGGATGAAGTAGAAAACTTTACTGAATGGACATGACCTTGGCCTTCATCAAAGGTTTAGAATTACATGAATTTGGGCATCAATCTTGATGTTCAGCCACTTTCTAACATGCCTTGGGCAATTCACTTCTAAACACAGCCTGGTTTTCTTCATCGGCTAAAAGGGACAACAGTACCAACTTTGCAGACATTAGTTGCTTAAAAATATATGGATAAGGAACAATTTAGTCACTCGTTTAAAATGGAAGATTTATTCCTTCTCTTTCATTCACCATTGTAATTTTACTTAAATCGTTGACTTAAAATTAGCTCGTCTATTTCTTAGACCCCTTTTCAAATTAAGATGGATCTTACTTTTTCCCCCTGTGGAGAGAGTAGAATAACTTAAATAAGATCTTGGAAACGTAAACTCTTTTCCTTTCTTTCTGTGTTAAAACGAAGACTCATTTTTAACAGAACTGCCACATCGCCTTGAAGAATAAGGAAAGCCAGGCAATAAATGACTATTTTCCAGGAGACAGGAAGAGCATATTTGGTAGATTAATTCTCAATTCACCTTCTCAGAGGAAAAGGACAAAACCCTCATTTGCTAAGATTCTAAAGAGATTTTGGTCAAGTCCCTGGCCAGCCCCAAGTCAGTCTTTGCTTCAAAACATCCTTCCCCAGGGCTTGTGTTTGTTGACCCAAACCTTTGATTGAGCTGTAAGAATACTGGAGGAAACAGGATGATCTCCTGGCACCTGATTTTCATATACATGACCAGTGTCTCTCAGGAGAGGGATGGGCAGCAGGCATATGGGCTGGTCAGGAAATGATGCCTCTAACAATTGTTCCTCTTTTTGCTCACAACAGAGCCAGTTAGTGCAATTACCTCACGCAGAACCATGACCTCACCTTACACTGGACTTGAAGCTCAGATCTCAGCCCCCCTGAGCAGCTAGGAGTGCTGCCATCCGCCCTGAGCATGGGCAGAGGAAAACTTTTGGAAAAGCGATTCTCCACTTCTTTATCCCTACGCAGGCTTAACGAGCAGAGTCGCAGTACAGGCATCGCTCCGCTATTACGTTTTCCTAATTGGCGCTTGGTTCCGTGTGTGATCTTCTCGTTTCCATTCATCTCTTCTGCTTTCCCGGGGTGGTAAACAGCGGAAGGAAGCGGGAGAGGCAGAACTTCCAAAAGGGCTCAAAGTTGAGCACAAACGGAGCTTTCAGGGAAGCGGGGGCATCGGAGCGGAGTTAGCAACCACGACGTTCGGCCTGACCGGCGTTCTCCTCCCACCGCCCGGGCGGCTCGGCCCCTCGCCAGGCGGGCGCTCGCCTCCCTTAGCCGGGACTATTTGCGGAGTGGAGGAGCCGGCCGACGTGAAGCCGCCGCGGACACACCTGCGCCTCCCTCCCGGCCCCGCCCCGCGAGGCCCCCCTCCGCGCGTCGCCACGCCCCTATTGCCGCCCATCTCCAGCTCATTGGCTGCTTGCTCGGAGGGGCGGAGCCAGAGCTGCCGCGGGGGTCTCATTAGCGATGCGGACTCGCGTCTCCGCTGGCTAGTCGGGGGGCCGGAGTCGAAGCCGGGCTGCGAGCCGCGCGGTGGGGACGGCGGTCGGCTCCGGCGGCGGCCGCGGTCACCACGCCGTAGAAGGCTATGGGGATGCGCTCTAGGACTGGGCGCCCGTGCAGCGGCGGCTCGGCCCGCCCTGCCCCGCTGCTGTAGGGAACGGCCGTGGAGCAGTCACTGTTCGGAGACCCCCGGAACCCACTCGCCTCGGCGTCGCCGTGCCTCTCCCCGGCTCGCGGGAGACGTGGAAGGCCAGCGGGACTCCGGAGCCGGGCGAGGAGGATGGGGGCTGCGGCGGCCGCAGGAGGCGGCGGCGGGGCGCGCCGGTGGCTCCCGTGGCTGGGGCTGTGCTTCTGGGCGGCGGGGGCTGCGGCGGCCCGAGGTAAGCGCCGGACGGATCGGAGACCCGGGGAGGGGTGGGAGCGTCGGGAGACCGAGCGGGACCCGCTCCCACGGCGCTGCCTACCCCACGGGCGCCTGGCCCGTCTCCGCGCAGAGCCGGGCGGGGTGGAAGTCGAGTCAGGACCTCCACGGGGACCAGCTGCCCTCCCACCCAAGTTTGCGACCTGCCACAATCCTACAGGTTGCTGTGCCCCGGGCCCCCAACCCTGTCTGCACCATTCTCCTTCTTTTCCCACGCCCTCCCCAAATGCTGCAGCCTGGAGTAGCCCGTCCGCACTCCGTCCTCGCCCTGCCCCGCTCCTCTCCACTTCCTAGGCGAGATCGTCCGTGGGTGGGCGCCCAGAGTGAGGTAAAAGAGTTCCTAAGGAAACGGGCTCTGGCCGGGTGGGCTCCGGTGAACGGCTTCCAGGCTGGAGTCGGCTCGCCCTGCGCCAAGCCTGGTACCCCTGGGTCGTCCCCAGCCTGGTGTCTTAGCCAGCGCGGGGCTCTCCTTCTCCAAGGCCGCGGGGGTCTACGGGGGAGCTCAGTGTGGGGATGAGAGCTGTGTGCGCCCTCCCGGCTTAACTGCGCGGGCAGTGCCCAGCTGGGAGAAGGAGTTGGCTCCGGGCTGGCTCACCCCGCGCCTCCTTTCCCTGCCCGGTGCTGACACTGGCTAGGAAGCGCGGGGCCCCCCTGAGCCGCAGAGAATCTCTGCTTCTCCTCCACTTGGAAGCACACATCCCATTCCCCCCCTTCCCCCCCCCCCCCCCCGATCTTCTGCACTCCAGCAGAGTAAAATTTTGCAACTGGTTTCAGCTCCACCTTGAGCGAGGACGGGAAACATCAACTTAAAAGATAAAACCCACCGACGTATTCTCCACAGGATCGCAGCAGATTTTGTTTTGTGTTGGAATAGCTCTAGTATTGTGGCTTCACCTTTGAAATACTCCGGAAGCTGCTCTTTTCTGCCTGCCCTTCTTTATCTGTGTCCTTAGCGGTGTGCCATCCACTAGGCTTAGCATCTGTAATGTCATTAAACCATTTGCCTAATGCTTGTCTATCAAGTGGTGGAACGGAGGGAACCACCTCACCTTGTGCTCTGCTGTCTCCTGAATATATTCTTGTGGCCAGAAGACAGTGGAAAAGATTGAGTACGGTTACAAAAGATTTTGTACAATCTCTTTTTTTTTTTTTTTAAAGCCAATGGTGTGTTCAAAGCAGTAAGTAGTAATAACGTGGAAAGACGAATGGGGGAATAAAGGTGGATGGAGGCTTTCCATTTTACTCTGCTCTTATCATTTCCTGAAAAGTTTATTTTTTTTTAAAATGGGGCAGGCTTATAAAAAAAAAGAACAGGAAAGGTTTGAAAATGAGCTTTTTGACTCCACACGGTTGCAGTGAAGCTTACTTCTTTCTCTTCTTTAAGAAGCACAAGCTTCAGCCATTTAATTTACTTACAGGGAAGGGGCTGTGGTCTTATTGCAAAGTCAGCTCTGAATTGTTTGCAAGAGGAGAATGGGCTCTTTTTTTCCTCTCCTAAATGTGGATCAGAATGTCTCAGTTTCCAGTTTTGGGTGTGGAACAACTAGGTGACTGAATCCTCATTCTGACCCTTGAAATTTAGTTGGTGGAGTTGTCTTAAAGCCAGCTTGAACTAAGAGGTGGGGACAAGTGAAAAGCCTCTTGGATAGAGTTTTGCTGGCTGCGAAAGGAAGGCTAGCACCTCTTGTCTGCAAGCTGTTCCTTAAAGGTCTCTTGCAAAACACAGTGCACATTCTGCAGGCTTATTTACAACAAATGTCTTGCACAGATCATACTGATGCTGAAGACACAGAGTGGAGGAGTAAACCCGACTGGTCTTTCCCTTGTCACATCTTTAACTTTTGGGGACATGAAGCCACCTACCTTTAAGAGCTGTAAGAGATTCCTTGAGATGCAGCCTGCAAAACTTGTGAATCCACATTGTACCTAGCCTTGGACTGGTGGGAAAATTAAAGTTTTCAAATTGAAATTCTCAGATCAAAGGGTAGGTTCCCAGATTATTCAAGTTCTCCCATCCCAGGAAGATGTCCACTCATTAAAACCAGAATGTGGCATATTCACATGGCATCTTTGCTTAGAAGTCTTCTTACTAAGGTAGGGTTGGCTCTGGGTGATTTCTTTTTATCTGAGTAGGTAGTTTTATTCTCTAGGATTTTTTGTTTATCTTGTTTTTCTTTTTGTTTTGCAATATTGGGGGAGGGTCTTTCCTAACTTAGACTCTTTACCATGAGAGGCAAAGACTGCATCCTTAGCCTATCAGTGACTCTTCTTGTCAATTGATGGAAAATATTTTATCTTTCCTGACCACTAGAAATACAGAAATGTGCTTAGAAGGCATGAGAATGTTTAACACTTCATTGACACTTTCTTTACAGTACTTGCCACATGTCTGTTTCCATGATGATTTTACCAGGGTCTGCTTTTCTAAATTTTCTTTCCCCCACTGTAAACACCTTTTAAAACCAAATGACAATTTCAGATGATTGACTTTAAATATACTCAACAAGGAAGATGGTGTGGATAGGCAGTGTAAATGTAGCAAGCAGTAGAGGCCTAAAGAGTGCCATTTTGTTTTCTGCCTTTCTAAGCAATACTTTCCTCTTCAGAATTTTCCTGCCTCTGGTACAGCATAAGCAAGGCTCTTTGGTGCCAAGGTTATTGTATGTTTTAGCACTTTTCAACTTAAATTAACGTTGTTTTGAGAGATATTTGTGACTTATCACCTACTAATTGAATCTACATCTTGTCATTCTGGTTTGTTTTTGTTCTTGGGAAGAATGGAGTATTGCTGTTGATCTCATTGTAACTTTCATATTAGATAGTGGACACAGGAGATCCTAGTCATTAAAGGCAGTGAGAAAGATACTCTTAGACACTCACAGTATTCTTTGCTTAAAAAAAAAATTCCGGGAAATGAAACAGTTCTTCCATTGACTGGCGGAATATATGGATGGCAAGAGAAATCCGTATTTCTTTTGTAGGCATACTAGGGTCACATGATAAGCACATATTTAATACACTTACTTCCCCAGTCTCACTGGTGTAACACAGAGCTTATTTTCTCCTTAATGAATGTTATTAGAGACCTTCTCTGTCCTTCTCTTTATCCTGTTCCTTTTTCTCAAACAGTGCTGTCCCCTCATAGGACTAAGTAGAATTTTCTTCTGATTCTTGGGCGGTGCTCTTCACGTTAGCAGCCCTAAAGAACCCATATTTCCTGCAGACAGTGTTCTGCTGAAGAGAAGGGCTCAGTTGTTTTGAGTTGGCCCTGTAATGGCAGCACTTGTCACTCCTTTCCCAGGTCCTCACTTTGAGTGACACATCTGTGGGCCTCTCCAAAACGAAGAAACCCATGTTGCTGGAGGATTGTTTTTGATCTCTTGGACTCTGACCAAACCTGTTAGGTTCTAGACCTGACTGTCTTCTTGAATAGGGAACCAGCCCTTTGCTCTTCTTTTCTCAGTGACTTGTAAACTTGACTTTTATGTTTTCCTCTCACCTGATATAATACCCAAGTTAAGACAGTGCCAGTTTTATGAGGCTTTGTAAAGGTGAAGGTGTCTGTTTCTCAGGAGATAAGAGTCTATGTTATATCCTTTTTATGTGATTAAAAAAAATTAGTCTCCATGCCCAGGCCATGTATATTGTAATCAAATCCAAAGAGAGATATCCAGACTTCCTCCAAGGTACCCTTTAAGAAGATACCTTCTTGATGGACAGGCAGTTGTGTTCAGATAGCCCAGTTGTGTCCTTCTTGATTACACCTATGTCATTAATCCTCATTGTCCCTTTCTTTAGGCAGTTGTCATTCAATCTGCAATGTCATTGGTTTTTATCTTTCATCTTATTTTGATACTTGTATGAATTAACAGCACAGCAATTGTAACTTTTCTTTTGTCATGCTGAGTCAGATTGTATAGGTGAAGATACCTGCTCACTCCTTTGTTTTCTATAGAAGCACGGTGACCTGACATCTGCCATCATTTACTACTCTTTGTATTATGCTTCCTTCTTACAGGAAGTGTTTTTTTGAAGTTCGATTTAGTCAGCAAGTGCCATTCATTATTCTAAATGTTTTACTTGTATTGACTTATTTAATCTTTATGATGACTCCGTAAAGGTAAGTGGAATTCTTTTTCTCATTTTCAGAATAAAAGTGGGGCATCCAGGGGTTAAGTATATTAGCAAGACCACAGATTTAGTATATGGAACTTGGACTTGCACCTGGTCTATTAGACTGCCCAATTTACAACAAAGACAGCTTTCTAAAGTCTGTTGAAAATCAGTGGACCTCTGTAATTTGTTGACAAAAATATTTATTTTTATAACTTTTAAGAATTATAAAGGAATTTAGAGTCAGTTACCTATATCTGTAAATATGCTCAGATAAAATCTAAGGGAGACTTACGTTAAATGAAAACAACTACCCACTCATCGTTCAGCTTATAATACTTTGGGATTGGATTCATACTTAAAATGTTGAACGTCAGATTCTAATGATAGCTTGCTTTTTGTTTCAGTTTTGAATTTCAACAGAAAATATTACTCTGATTGAATACACCATCCATGGAATGGCAGATCCCCAGAGACTATTTGTTGCATGTCTTGTATTTTTAGCCTTGTTTGCTGGGGAAATGTGGAGCAAGAGATTTGAGAATAGATTGTTAACACCAGAGGCTGCTGTTTCTGCTGTTTTGGGTCCTCCTGCTGCTGCTTTTGCAAGAGGCAGATGGCTAGATTCATTTATAGAAAATAGATATTCGTTCTATTTTGCATTTCCACTTTGAAAAGCACTTTTAATTGTTTGTGCCACATTGCTTCGTATGGCCGTATTGTGTGCATACACATGCTGTGCGTAGATAATTTTCAGAATTAGGCGGATGTTAATGTATTCGGTTTGGGCGGTGTTATCTGAAATCCATTGCTAACTGTACTAGGCTTTTAGAGTTTTCTGTTTGA